AATGAAAAAAAAAAAATAGAACTAACACTGTGGGATTGATCTCTAGTTATCCAGTGTTTGAACCAGTGCAGCGTGGTTCTTGCCCAGTTGCCCCTCCCCAGATTCTCTATGTGACAGGGTGGCTCTCACCAGTTGGCAGCTGAGCTGTGGTGTTTTATGACTGAAGACCTTCATGGCCTTGGAGAATAAAGACTCACCTACCCATCCTTCATTTAAGGAGTATAGAAAGAGTAGAGGTGTAACAACATGAGGAAGAATTTTAGAGTCTAGATTCTTCGAAAAAATCAAGAAGCTACCTTAGCCCAACTCTTGGATGACCAGAGCCTACAATGAGAATAGGGGAATTTTCTATAAAAGGGACATTTAAAAATAATCTGTTCTAGGTGACAGAGTCCTTTCTTAGGGTGGGCTGACATAAATAGCTGATTTTACACTTCTCTGCTGATTCAGCCTGAGCTGACCTAAATCTGTCTAAGCAATTATTTTGTGCTTGTTAGGTGAATTTATTACTGTGTACATCAAAGTCTACATTTTCACTGCCTTTATTCTCTAGGTCATATTTTTTTGTTTTCTTTTTGTACACTTTTCATCATGGAAAGTAACAAATTTATGCAAAAATAAAAACACATTAAACAGATTTTTACTCCTACTTTTCACCTCTCAGGTTTTCAAGTGTTGATTTATTTTGTTTGGATCCTTTCTTCTTTTTCTTTTTTTTTTGTTTTTGTTTTTTGGTACTCGGGATCGAACTCAGGACCTTGCGCTTGTGAGGCAAGAAGTGGAACCACTGAGCTAAATCCCTGGCCCTAGATCCTTTCTTTAATCTCCCCATAGGTCATAAACTTGTAAAAAGAAGGGAATTAGTACTGTTCATTAGTGCTCAAATTTTATTGCCGTTCTCATTAAGTTCTAAACTTTTTGGAGCACTCTCATTTTTGTCAGCAGTATAGCGCCTGTATTTTAGAAAGCATGTTTTCCTCATTTTCCAATGAAGTCATAGAGGTGGAGGCAGCCACACTTCCCTAGGGTGATGCAACTGCAAAGCCAAGACTGAATGCTTAGACTCTGACTCTGATTTGTTTTTATTTCCATTTGAAAGTCTTATTGCACACAGTATTCTGTGTCCTGAGGATGCCAAGGAATATCTGACTTTAATGAGCTAAGAAAGCATCTGTGAATGATACTGCAAACATTTTTTAAAGTGTTGATATGAGGGACAAGGAATAAGGAAAGAATTTAAGCTAGTGGTGTAATCCCAGCACTTGGGAGGCTGAGGCAGGAAGATCACTACAGGTTCAAGGCCAGCCTAAACTACATAGTCAGACCCTGTCTCAAAAAAAAAGTTTAACACTTATTTATTTATTTATTTAGGTACCGGGGATCGAACTCAGGACCTTGCACTTGCAAGGCAGGCGCAGTGCCACTGAGCTAAATCCCTGGCCCTTTAACATTTATTTTTAAAGACTATAATACATTACATAAATAAATATAAAAGAGGGGTCAAGGTCCCAAGTTCGATCTGTGGTACCAAAAAATAAATAAATAAATATAAAAGAAAAGAAAACTTACATTTCATCTCAGACCATGAACTCCTTTAGGTGACTTGTTCATTTCAGTCTCCAGAGCTTAGCTTGGAACCTGCCTGCCTTGGTACCTGGCACCTATGCAGTAGCTTCTCAGCAAAATGTTACTGAATGCATTCTTTAGATGGTTCAGGTTGTTTGTTCTGGCGATTCTATTTATAAAATGTATTTTTCCATGGAAGTAGTAGAAATGATGACTGCTAGTGGTTGTCAATTCCCACTTGACTAGGTATCCATAGCCCAAGATGGTCTGGAAATTGCAAACCCCTCACAGGGCCGCTGTTCTTTCCTCAGGTGAACACACCAACCAAAACCTATGGCATGGGCAAAGGCCGGGCCGCCGATCTGAAGTACATCGAAGCTTGTGCTAGACGCATTGTGCAAAACTCAAATGGGTACAAAATTGTGACTGAGAAAAGCACAGTTCCGGTGCGGGCAGCAGAAAGTATTCGTCGCATATTTGACGCAAACACAAAACCCAACTTGAATTTGCAGGTATGAAATTATGAGACATTACAGTCTGGCTCTTCTTATGTAAATATTGACACCTTCAAGTTCCCTTAGTTAATTCTAACTTCGCACTTGCCTTGCACTGGCATTCTAGGTGCTGTCCAACCCTGAGTTCTTGGCAGAGGGGACGGCCATCAAGGACCTGAAGAACCCAGACCGAGTCCTGATCGGAGGGGACGAGACGCCCGAGGGCCAGAAAGCCGTGCAAGCCCTGTGTGCTGTGTATGAGCACTGGGTTCCCAGAGAAAAGATCCTCACCACTAATACTTGGTCTTCAGAACTTTCCAAACTGGTAAGTCCATAATTTCAGCTCTCCATTAAATTTGTTGTTATTTGAGACAGGGTCCCACTGTGCTGTCCAGGCTGGCCTTGAACTCACTGTGTAGCCCTAGCTGGCCTTGAACTCAGTGGTCCTTCTGATTCAGCCTCCCAGGTACTGGAATTACAGGCATACACTGCCATACCCAGCCTCATAATTTTGTTTTTTGTCTCCCTTTCTCTGCTTTTAACCTTCTCTTAGTCATCTATCTTCCTAAATTAAAATATATTCACTTACCAGACCATCCATTATCTCCACCAGTATCAACTCAATATTGAAATATAAAAATGATGTACAAAATTGCTATTTTAGCTCATCATACTTCTCTCTCTCTTTTTTTAAAAGGCAGCAAATGCTTTCCTTGCCCAGAGAATCAGCAGTATTAACTCCATAAGTGCCCTGTGTGAAGCAACCGGAGCGGATGTGGAAGAGGTTGCAACAGCCATTGGAATGGACCAGAGAATTGGAAATAAGTTCCTGAAAGCCAGTGTTGGTAAATAGATGTTCTCTCTACATGGAGTGGCTTCATTTAGCTGGGTCCCTAACTTTGAAGAAGTCTTTTGTTCACTTATCTTTAAGAAAACAAAAACAACAAGATTTGATCCCCAGTACCAAAAACAAACAAACCAAACCAAAAATAACAAGAAAGATTGTTATGCCTGTGTCCTTCATTCTATCAGGGATGAAATGAGGCAGTAATCTTTTTTTTTTGGTACAGGAAATTGAACTCAGGACCTTGTGCTTGCCAGGCAGGTGCAGTGCCACTGAGTTACATCCCCAGGCCTAGAAATCCCTTCTGTTGTTCAATGATGACTGGTTGATCAGTAGATTAATGTAGCTCAGTTTCAGAGGAGAAAAATGGTGTTTTCACTATTATTGGCGTAAACATTCAGTATTTTGGGAAACCATGTAGGAAGTAATTCAAGTTAACAACTTGTTTAAGCAAATAGGAAATAAACTTCCTATTGTTTGTTTTCCTACTAATATTTTATTGGCGAAATGCAGTCAGTTCTCCTTATGGAGTGATTCTGTATTTGTGGATCTGCCTACCTGCTAAAACTTACTGATACCTCAGAGTGGTGAAATATCTGTCCCAGACATGCCTCTGAGCCAGCTGTGTTTGAACAAGGCGTTGCTTTGCCTTGGTGCGCTGGCTCATACTGTAACCAAAGGTCCTTCCTGTGACCTGTTTAGTGCCATGTTTTTATGCTTTCATGCCTTTTGGTATGGACTTTTCTATTCAAAATGGCCCCAAGTGGAGAGCAGTCCTTGTGTCAGGGAGAAAATATGTGTCTAAGACGAGCTTCATTTGGGGGTGAGTTATAGAACTGCTAGCCACAACTTTAATTTTAGTGAACCAGTAATTATGCTAGCTAAAATGTATTTAAGCAGAAGCACATGTAAAACAAGTTTATGTGTTCCTCTCTTGACCATAATGTCGTGAGCAGAAACTTGCAGAATCTAACCCATGTTTTGCCTGGGATCAGTGCTTCAGTATTTGTGGATTCGGTGTCTGGGGTGACTTATAGAACATAGCTTCCACAGATCATGAAAACTGTGATTTTGGATATAAGTTAGTAAAATGGTATACTATTTGGTAGAATATTTTGTAGATTGGGCCAGAGGCAGACTTGCCAGTGTTTCTAGAGCTGTGTGTCATTTCCCAATACTGGATTCCCTGGCCTTTTATAGCCTACTCTTTTGAACTTCTTTTTATTTCTTATTTTTTTTGGTACCAGGGATCGAACTGGGTCCTTGCACTTGCGCAGCAGGCGGCAAAACCACTGAGCTAAATCCCTGGCCCAAGCCTACTCTTTTTGATGTTTGCTTCTAGTTATAATTTCAAAAAAGTACACTGAAGTCATATTATGCATCAGGTTATATACCAGCATTTTATATCTCTCATTTTCTCTTTATAACCTGATAAGGAAGTACTGTTATGTCCTTTTTTGAAGATAATTGAAATATTTACTCTCTGGCCCTTTACCATAAAAATTTGCTAAATGGTAGAGTAAGAGATGTAGGGCACTCATACCAATGAATAAGGAAAAAAAAAAGAAAACAGTCAGGTGTGGTGGCACACTCCTATAATCCCAGCATTAAAGAGGCTGAGGCAGGATCACCACAAGTTTGAGGCCAGCCTGGGCTACATAGTGAGTTCAAGGCCAGCCTGAACTACATAGTGAGACCTTGTCTCAAAAAACCAAAAAAACTGAAGTCAAAATATAGTCTTAATGAAACTTTTGTTAGCGAATCATTGGTAAATCATTTAAAGAGTTGATTAAAGTTGGCTATAAATTTCACATAATTTGTAAACCCACGTTTATTATTTAAATCTTAGTATAGTATAGGCTGCCTGATATACATGTGTAAAACTTGTCACATGATTCAGTTTTTGGTTCTTATATGAAAATGTTGTTTTTCTTCCCCCAGGTTTTGGTGGGAGCTGCTTCCAAAAAGATGTTCTGAATTTGGTTTATCTCTGTGAGGCTCTGAATTTGCCTGAAGTAGCTCGTTATTGGCAGCAGGTATTAATCTTTATAGTCAATAACAGCTGATTAGATTATAATTAAATCATGTCATCTATGCAAAATGTTTTGTTTGTTTGTTTTTGCAGTACTGGGGATTGAACTCAGGACCTTGTACTTGCAAGGCTGGTGCAGTACCACTGAGCTAAATCCCTGGGCCCTTGAAAATGTTTTTTTTTTTTTGGTACTGAGGATTGAACTCGGGTTCTTTTTTTTTTTTTTTGGTACTGGGGGATTGAACTCGGGACCTTGCGCTTGCAAGGCAGGCGGTAGAACCACTGAGCTAAATCCCCGGCCCCCGAACTCGGGTTCTTGTACTTGTGAGGCAGGCAGGCAAACCACTGAGCTAAATCCCCGGCCCCTGCAAAATGTTTTTGAAGGAATTCATTCCAGGAATTCAGTGTTTACTTGTTTATTTATTGGGCACCTGTGCTTTTAGACATTTTTGCTGATCAACTGGAGTGGAAATTTCTGATCAACCAGTATTTATTCTAGTTTTATAACTAAATTTGTTCCCAGAGTAAACTGAGAGCTAATATTATTCTTTGTTGTTGTTTTTTTGCTAATATTATTGTTTATAATTCTTCTCTACCTGAAAGGTATAAAATCAAGGAAGAGCCCGTGCTATAATACTTTCAGGTGGTTTGGATCTGTTGATACTTTTTTTGTCCCTTTCAGATTCTCAGAGTGAACATGTCTTGAATACTTACCCTGTCCTGCTAACTTTGGGGCACCTGATACAATATCTCATTTTGTCTTCATCACTAATATTATCCCATTTATATATGTATGGGTGGATGTCAATAGGTTTTTTTTTTTTTGGTACTGGGGTTCGAACTCAGGACCTGCTTGCGAGGCAGGTGGCAGCACCACTGAGCTAAATCCCTGGCCCAGATGTTATGTTTTTTTTTGAGGGAGAGCCTCACTGTGTTATTCAGGCTGACCTTGAACTTACCATGTAGCCCAGACTGGCCTGGGACTAGTGTCAATCCTCCTGCTTCAGCCTCCCCGGTGCTGGGATTACACATGTGCACCACCGTGCCTGGCACCCCCTCCCCCATTTTTAGATAATGGAATTGACAGAGATTTTAAGTAATTTTCAAATGTTCTAGCTAGTATATTTGTCCATCCCAAATATTTTCCTGAGTGTATAATTTCAGATTTCAGCAGTAGATATAGGAAGGAATCTAAGGAAAGTTCACTTTTTAGAGAAACACTTTGTGTCATTTCACTCAATCCATCAGGTGGCTTTATCTCACCATTCATTGTGTGCAAAATGCAGCAATGAGTGAAGTCTTGGTTTTCTAATACTTTGGGGCCATTTCCTGGGCTTTCAAGGTTGAAATTGGTATAGAGCCTGAAAAATAGTCTCTTCCTGTACATTCGTACTATCACCAACCTAAATTTAACAGATTGAAGACTCTTGATCAGAGACTCTTACTTAGTTAAAAACCATGTCAGTTATTTAAATATCTGTATTGCAGTTTGTCCAGAGGTGGCTGTAACTTGGCATGCTGTTTGACTGTTACCTGGCTGTTTTCTTGTTAAATTTTATCAGTCCATGTGCGCAGTACACAATGATTACACTCAATGTGGGGAATTGGCACATGTATATAACACATCCTCATTCTTTTTTTGTGTGAGGCGGGTGGTAGCACCACTGAGCTAAATCCCCAGCCTCCATCTTCTTCTTCTTTTTTTTTTTTTTTGGTACCGGGAATCGAACTCGGGACCTTGCACTTTCCAGGCAAGCGCCGGAACCACTGAGCTAAATCCCCAGCACCCCATCTTCTTCTTTTGATGGCTCCTTCCTCTTGCCCATTTTCTTCTCACACTGAATTTGGTGATGGGCAATGTAAGCAGATTCGAAACACAGACCTGAGTGCTGATGGCCTTCTGTCCCCAGGGTTTGGAGAAGTCAGCTAAACAGTGCCATTTCCCCCGTGCCCTTCTTAGCTGGCTTTAGCACTGAGTCTCAGAGTTAAAGCATAGCTGTGCACTCTATCTGTGCATTCACCTCAAGCCAACACATACAGACCAAGCCAATGAAAATAAAAGTTTTCAGGAAGGAGATGGGTGTTTTTCCAGTTTTTATTTAAACTCTGAGTAATATGTGTCAGAGGCTGTGTTTCTGTTAACGGGCATCCCGCAATGTGTGTGAATTTCAGGTCATAGATATGAATGACTACCAGAGGAGGAGGTTTGCATCTCGGATCATAGACAGCCTGTTCAACACTGTGACTGATAAGAAGATAGCGATCCTGGGCTTTGCATTCAAAAAGGACACTGGTGATACAAGGTATCAGCTCTTTCAAGTATTTCAAACCTCTTGTTATTGTGACCTCTTGACTGTGGATGTGTGTGTGAGACCCATGTGTGTCTGTCTATATTTGTATATACAGTATAAAGAATAAAAATAGCCGCATTCTCACTCTGCTTCATAGGCTCTTACCTGCATCTTCAGTTCCCATGTTTTAGGGTATAATGGCATCAAAAGCAACACTGATGTGTTTTCCTACAGAGAATCCTCCAGTATCTACATCAGCAAATACCTGATGGATGAAGGTGCACACCTCCATATATATGATCCGAAAGTACCCAGGGAACAAATTGTTGTGGATCTCTCCCATCCAGGGGTTTCACAGGATGACCAAGGTAAGGCATTGAGTCTCATGAATCATCTTCCTTACAGATCCCAAAACTTGTTTTCCTGAAACTTTTTTTGTTGTTGTTGTTTGCTCTGGGGATCGAACTCGGGACCTGGTGCTTTCGAGGCAGACAGCGGAACCACTGAGCTGAATCCCCTGCTAGAAACCTTTGGTTGTAATATTTTTAACCTGTATCTCATTGATGTGCTCTCTATTCAGCCTCAGTTTTCTAAAATTAAACTCAGGCATTGTATCTTCACCTTTGAAGTGATCAGCTGAGGGTTGGGCCAATAAAGGTTTCTAACTCCTTTCTGGCATTTGTGCTGCTCTTGGTGTAGTGACTCAACTTGTGACCATTTCCAAGGATCCCTATGAAGCATGTGATGGAGCCCATGCCGTTGTCATTTGCACGGAGTGGGACATGTTTAAGGTGAGTCAATAGAAGTGTGACTGAGGAGGGTGCTGGGGCATCGTGTGTGAGCAGGAGTGTGTGCTCATGCTCTGATCACCATGTGGTGTCTTCACAGGAGCTGGACTATGAACGCATTCACAAAAAGATGCTCAAGCCAGCCTTTATCTTTGACGGGCGGCGTGTCCTGGACGGGCTCCACAGTGAGCTGCAGACCATTGGCTTCCAGGTGCTCAGGATTCTGGACTCTCTTGTTGGCTCGTTTTCTTTTTAAACCCATTGTGTGGGTTTCACAGTTCTCGTATTCTCACTTAGCGATGAGGTCACTCTGGGACAAGATGTCAGCTGTCTGATTTTTGTGTTTTTTTTTTTTTTTGTACCGAGGATCAGACTTGGGACCTTGCACTTGTGAGACAAGCACCGGAACCACTAAGCTAAATCCCTGGCCCTGTCTGGTTTTTGTAATGATTCCATGCCTAAGTTTGTGATGTACAATTTAGTGTGGTCTCCCTTACATGGCATCGAGGGGGGTGTCAGTTATCAGTGGCCTGTCATAAAGAGACAGAATGTGCCCCACCTTACCTCATATTGTGACAATCAAGTGGAAAATCCATGAATGTGTTCTGCAAGCTGCACTGTGGCTATCATACAGTATCACTGTTGTGTTCATTACTATTCCTCGCTGAGCCACTGCCCTTGTGGTCTTCCCTTGAGTTCCTGGATAGGAAGAATAGGATAGGCCGGCTTGGGTACTTATTGAGACCCTGTCCTAAAATATTAAAAAAACAGTCTAGGGTTGTAGCTCAGTGGTCCCTGGGTTCAGGCTCCAGCATCACAAAAACAAAAAACTCCACCAGATAGTTCTTAACTTTTCACCAGTTTATAGAAGGTCCTCTGTACTTAGAATTCAGTGCCCATTTCTCATCCGTGAGTCATTAAATCACAGCAGGAGCCAGATGTTGACCTCGTCTGTTCACTCATCTGTCAAAGGCCTCGAGGATCCCTTTGTCCCACCCAGCATGACTCTTTTTCCCAGTTGTGACTTAAACTCAGAAATGTTATTTTTAAAAGTTTATTCGAACAGATACATTTCTGCTTATTCCTGTTTTACTCATCTAGTGGGAAGATACATAGAAAGATACATATTTTAAATGATTTTGAGTTCTTATAGAAGTTAACTTTCTCTAGTAGAGATTAAAAAGACAATTAGGAATTGAATCATAAATGGATATGAATCACTAAGACAACAGGTTAATACATAGCATAGGCCTTTCTTTGTAGCATGGGTCAGTTAAGTATTAATTTTTAATTATGAGATAGGAAAACAGAATTGTATATTTATCTCTGCTTTGGAGGGAAGATAAACTTGTAAGTATTAGCAGGGTGTGGTGGTCCATACCTGTAATCCAAGCACTGGGGAAGCTGAGGCAGGAGGATGGCAAGTTTGAAGCCAGCCTGGGCTACATAGTGACTTTGAGACCAGCCTCACTGCAGAGTGAAATCCTGTCTCACAACAAAACCAAAAAACCCCATATGGACTATTAAAGAAGTAGTCTTTTTTTAAAAGATTAATGATTTTTAATATGAAAAATATACAACATAAAAATCAATTATTTATTGAAGGCTGGCTTGTTGTATGCTAAGCAGTGTAATGTAATTCTTGCCACAACTTTTTGAGGTACGTGGTAGTAACATTTGTAAGTGAGAAAGCCCTAGAGAATTTAGGTGACAGTTTATTTGGATTTCAGCTGGGGCCTTTCAGACTCTGCAACTGGCACTCTTAATGCTATTTACAACTTCCACAAGTTTAGCTTTCTCTTTTTTTTTTTTTTGGAGACAAGGTCTTGCTATGTAGTCCGGGCTGGTGGTCCTCCTGCCTCAGCCTCCCTAGTGCTAGGATTACAGGTGCACTCCCACACCTGGCTTCTTTTTTCTTTTTCTAAGAGGAGAGGTTTATTTTAGCTCACAGTTTCAGAGGTTTCAATTCATAGTCAACTGGCCTACAAGTTTTAGTGTAAGGAAAATGGAATGAGAATAAGAGTGAGTGGAAACGTGAGCTACTGGAATCTGCTCTGTTCATCGTATTCATATGCGGTTCTGAGAATCATAGGGACATATGGTTTTCCACTCCAACATGTGAGGGGCTTTTTTCCCCCCTGTTGCTACACTACATTATAGTTCTTACATTCATGTGTTGTAATTATTAATAGTTCTCATTAATTTTTTTTTTCCTCTTCAGATTGAAACAATTGGCAAAAAGGTATCTTCAAAGAGGATTCCATATGCTGCTTCTGGTGAGATTCCAAAGTTTAGTCTTCAAGATCCACCAAACAAGAAACCTAAAGTATAAACATCGAGGTTTTTATTTGACTGTTTTGCTACTTCAGGATAGCAAATATCTGATATTAAAATGGTAAATGAACCAAGTTGTTTTTAAGGAAACAAAATTATTTTTTTAATCATCAAGTTTATACTACTATATGGCTATTAGCATCTGACTTATGAATCTAGAATATTTTTACATATTTTTATATTATTAGCTCAGTTATTGGATAGAAAATAATCATGTTGGTGTTAATCATGTCAATTTTTGTGAAATAAAAACTAAATTTAAAACACTTTTTACTTTACAAATTGTCCACAAGTAGCACTTTAATGTCACATTGTAAAGGAAAAAGCATTTTGGTTTTCTTTGTAACCAGTTTATTTGCTTGTTATTAAGTATGTATTTTGAAGCCATGATATTACTGTGCTAAGTAGCCTTTACAAGTATGGTCAGGTTAAAGTTCTTTGTTCCTTTCATTTTAATGCAATGTGCCATTGATTTTTTCACCCAAAAAGATTATCACTGTGCATTTCCAACCACTCTAACTTGAAGAATGCTCCCTTTTGAAAAAAATGTTTAGCTGGGTGTGGTGGCTCACACCTGTAATCCCAGCGCTTGGGAGGGTGAGCAGAAGGATTGCTGTGAGTTCAAGGCCAGCCTGAACTACAGAGCAAGACCCCGTCTCAAAAAAGAAAATTTTTAACCCAAAGAGAAAATCACTGGTATGGTCTGGTTTGCTGTTTCATAGCTTTCCTCATCAGTTATTACCTTTGTAGTCTAAGAGTTAAAAATGTTTGCTACCTTTATACATATTGCATTTTTATTTCTATTCATGGTAATGTTTCCTTTAAGAAGATGAATATAATCTTATACATAAACTAAAAGACTTTACAAATTAGACATAGCATTATTCTAAAGAATTTTGTGTGTATTCCCTTCTGCTTTTTTCTTATGTCTCTTGTTAACTTACATTGAGGTGGTTATTCTGGCTCGTGGTTGGTTGATGACTATTGAATATGTCAGATGTCCTTTGATGCTTGGTTCTGCTGAGTGTACTACCTTCAGTTACACAGATAGGGGCCTCACCCATTAGGAATGTTATGGCTCAGTAAGAAAAGGGAGTCACATATAAAGATGAGGCCAGAGACATCTGTATAATAACAGATACATAAATCAGACATTGTGTGTCAGCAGCTGTGTGCATGCCATTTTGTCATGGAGTAAGTGACTAATGAGTCATGGTGCTCTGAGAGTGAGAAGAAATAACTCCTCATTCTCTAGGGAAAAAGGCTTTGCATCATTCTTTCAAATGATCAAGAAAGGACGGGAGGGCTGGGGATTTAGCTCAGTGGTTTCGCTGCCTGCTTCCCAAGTTCAAGGACCTGAGTTCGATCTCCGGCACCAAAAAAAAAAAAAAAAAGGAAATTTAAATTTAGCAAGTAACCAGGCCTTGAGAAGTGTTGGCCAGCCACACGGGAGCTAAGTGGTTTTATTCTCACATGTTACATCTCAAATAGTTACGTAAGTCCCTACATAACACCCTCAGTTTTGCCTCTTGGCCTGAAAAATATAAAAATATTTGCTATCTGGACCTTTAAGAAACAATCTGCAAAAAAAAAAAAAAAAAGAAAGAAAAAAGAATCTCCACACTGTTGAGACAAACATCAGAGGAGTTTGAGGACCATAAGGTGAACTCTTCTTATTCTTGAGACGTTGGAACAGAGATGAACTTCTTTTTCTTTTGGTACCAGGGATCAAACTTTTTTTTTTTAGCTCTGTTGGTGGTTTCTCTTGCAGTGCAGAAGCTTTTTGTTTGTTTGTTTGTTTTTGGTACTGGGGATTGAGCTCGGGACCTTGCACTTGCAGGAACCAGAACTACTGAGCTAAATCCCCGGCCCTTGAACTTTTTTTTTTTAAGATGAACTTCTTAATTAGAATGTTTTTGCTTTAAAATATTCTTGTATTCTGCTTAATAGTTTTATTTTCTAGTATAGGGATTATACACTCAAAGATGTCTTGCTAAAGCACATAGAATTGGGCACTTGTATTAAATTACAGAATGCTCTGGTGCCTAGAATTGTGAAGTAAATAATATATGTGAAGTAGTTATTAAGAAACCAGAATGGGCAAGTGGAGGAAGTGGGCAAAAGAGGGCTGGGAAAGCCTTGTAACTTGCTCTTTGTAATGGGGAGGAGAAGCCCCATCATGGACATGTAATGTGACACAGCAGTTGGAGATATCAGTGTGGCAAGTTCACCTTTCTGTTCCTTGCTGGGAGAATTAAAAAGCATGATTTTTAGCCAGGTGTGGTGGCACACACCCCTAATCCCAGCATTCGGGAGGCTGAGGCAGGATTGTGGTGAGGCCAGCCTGCACTGCAAAGTGAGACCCTGTCTCAAAAAAACAAAAAACAAAAAAAAAACATGATTTAAAAAAAAAAGTTAACGTTTCTGTTTGGTAGCTACTATTTTGGGGTGGAGGGTGGAGTGATGGATATCCATGAGATTAACTAGTAATTAAAATTGAAAATACATGGACATGGTAAAGACATTCAAATTGTTTTTCAAAGAGTGTATAAAATAAACTCTCAGCTGGGTATGGTGGTGCACGCGTACAAAAAAAAGTGCAGTCGCTCTCCCATAACTTGTTCTCTGGAAATCACTTGTTATTCCACCTAAGTCTTCTAGTTTTCAATCCTAACTACACAACCGCTTGGCATGTGACATCGTGGCTAAACTATTTGAAAGCTTTGTTTTCCCCCTCTGCACAGTGGGGGTGTTGGGAGGATTCTGTGAGTCGTGTTCACACAAGCTTAGTGGTCTGTGGCTGGCAGGTGAAGCCACCTGTTAGGCCCCTGTCAGGCTGGTCCCACTGCCCTGGAGCCACAGATAGGCTCTGGGGTTGGGAACCCAGGGTCTTCACATGGTACTACATCCCCAGCCTTTGTTTCAAATTTTTATTTGAGACCAGTTTTACTGGGTCATTTAAGTTGCTCAGGCTGGGCTGGAACTTGTGATCCTCCTGATTCAGCCTCCCAGAGTGTTAGGATTACAGGCGTGTGCACCCCCATACACAGCAGCATAGTAATTGACACTGGCCATTGTGTCCAATTTAGCTGGTTAGGTGCATTTTCTAACTCTTCCTCGTACAAGTCCTTTGCGGCAAGTTCCCATTTTTCAGATGAAGAGCAGAAGGCCAAAAAAATTAAGTAGCTTGCTCAAGGCCACACATTAATACCTGGCAGAACTAGATTTCAGGCTCTTTCAGCCCACCTGTTACCTCTGTTAACTGTGCTTTGCACTAGAAGTGTAAAGGTGCCCTGATGAAGATTTTCATATGTGGCGAGTAACCACTCCTGAGCTCTGGGTCCATATGTTGCACACAGAACCCACATGTACCCCATTTTCCTGTTTCTCAAGAGAAAGTGGAAAATCCCAGATTTGACCGGCCTGTACTCCTATTTGGCAGGCTGAGGCAGGAGGAGCACTTGAGCTTAGAGCTTTAAGGCCAGCCTGGAGAACATAAGACTCTGTCTTTAAAAAAATTAATGATGTATCAATGTACCAAAATGAATCTCCTTCTGTTATTATTAGTATGCATTTTAATAAAATTTTTTTCAAAAACTGAGTGTGGTAGTATACACCTGTAATCTCAGCATTCTGGGAGGCTGAGAAAGAGGATCAGCAACTTAGCAATTTAGTGAGATCCTGTCTCAGATATAAAAAATGAAGCTTGGTGGGAAGGTCCTGTGTTTAATCCCCAGTACTGAAAAAAAAGGGGATGAAATAGGAAAGGGGTGAGGGGCATGTAGCTCAGTGGCAGAGCTCTTGGGTAGTGTGCATGAGGCCTTGGGTTCAACCCGTAGCACCACCAGAAATTAAAAATTCCAGCCTGGATGTGTTGGCATGTACCTGTAATCCCAGTACTCTAGGAGACTGAGGCAAGAGGACTGCAAGTTCAAGCCCAGGTTGGTCAATTTAGTAAATTAGTGACACTGTCTCAAAAAATGGACTGCGGATGTAACTCAGTGTGAAGGCCCTGGATTGAATCCCTATGAGCCCCCCCCCCCCGCAAAAAAACCCCTAAAACCACGTTACCTAAAGTTTCCCTTTTTTTTTTTTTCTTTTTCCATTTCCAGAGATCAAACTCTGGACCTTGCACTTTCAAGGCAGGTATGGCACCACTAAGCTAAATCCCCGGCCCTAAAGTTCCCCAATTTATAAGTGCTGGCACAATCTGCCCTTAAAAGTATATATGTAGGGCTGGGGATTTAGCTCAGTGGTTTCGCTGCCTGCTGCGCAAGCGCAAGGACCGGAGTTCAATCCCCGGTACTCAAAAAAAAAAAAAAAGTATATACATGGGGCCAGGGATTTAGTTCAGTAGTGCTGTCACCTGCCTCATAAGCGCAAGGTCCAGAGTTCGATCCCCGAGACCAAAAAAAAAAACCCACTAAAAGTATATACATGACATGACCCAGCTCTTCCCCTGTAAAAGACATATTATGGTGATCCATGCATACCCATGTTAATAACAGCACAGTTCATAATAGCTGCATGTTGGAAGCAACCTGTATGTCCATCAACAGATGAATGGATAAAGAAATGTATTTACACACCATGGAGTACTACTCTGCCATAAAAGGGGGATAAGCTGGTTACTTATAGGAAAACGAATGCATATTGAGATTGTGGTCAATGTTAAGTGAAATAAAAATGAGATAAAATACCACATAGTTTATCTTAGAAGAGAAACCCAAGGGCTGGGGATGTGGCTCGGCACCAAGCCTGCCTGGCAAGCGCAAGGTCCTGAGTTTGATCCCCGGTACTGGGGGAAAAAAATCAAGAGAAACCCAAAGTATAATAGCAAAATAAAAGATAGTAAGTAGAGAGATCTTTCTCAAATAGGAAGGGGATCAAGAGATGGGGGTAAAAAGGAATTAAGATGTGTTGCATACATGTACCCACTCCGCACAAGGACTGTAAACATGTGATGCGCACATGGACTAATAAAAAGTCTATACAGACCAAACAAAACATCTCTGAAGGGCAGGCTAGCAAAGGCTGCTAGTTTTTCAAAAAGACCTACCCACCCTGGTGCTGGGGATCCAATCCTGGGCTTGCACAGGGTGAGGCAAGCAGTCCACGGCTGAGCTGTGTCCCCAGCCTGCTCCTGGATTTTGCCTTAATTTTAGGATTACAGAAAAGTGTACCTGTCACTCATATTCCCCAAATAGTAATACTATATTTACTTTGCCTTATCTTTTTTGTTTTTGGATACCGAGGATCGAACTCGGGTCCTTGTACTTGCAAGGCAAGTGGTGGAACCACTGAGGTAAATCCCTGGCCCCCCAAAACTTTAGGATCTTTTTTTTTTTTTTTTTGGTACTGGGGATCGAACTCAGGTCCTTGCGTTTGCACAGCAGGTGACGAAACCACTGAGCTAAATTCCCAGCCCTGCCTTATCTTTTTAAACATACATGGGGTTTTTTTTTTGGTACCGGGGATCGAACTTAGGTCCTTACGTTTGGAGGGCAGGCGGCTGAACCACTGAGCTACATCCCCGGCCCAAACATACATTTTAAAATGTATATATTTGTCTCTATAATTTCTTTTCCCTGAAGCATTGGAAAGTAAAGTGCAGTAAAATGAATGCTTCCTTGCTCTCTTACAGTTTCTGAGAGTCGAGAACTTGGGAACAGTTCAGGTGAATGGTTCTGGTCTAAGTCTCATGAGGTTATAATCCAAATGTCAACTCAGGCCAGTCTGGTGAGACACTCCTGTAATCCCAGAACAAGTTTGAGGCTGCCCTGGGCTACCTACTGAGACATACCCCCCCACCCACCCCCACCCAAAAAAGAAAACAATGCTTGCTCTTGGGGCAGCCATCTTGGAGAATGAATCAGGAGTCTTGTATCAATGATGGCAGAGTACCAGATGCAGCTCCTGGGCCTCCGATGATGCAGAACAATGATGCAGAACGTCCTCTTCCAGCCCTAGACCATCTACCTGGACTTCTGAGAGAGATTTCTGTCCTGTATAAGACACTATAATTTTGGGCTTTTGTTAGAGTAGCCAAGTTGGTACATTGATACAATTTGTAAGTTTTGTTTTTTCCCATTATAAGGATATAATTTCATTTTGAAGGAATTTAAATTTAAAAGTTTAATCAGTTATTATCTTTTGGTTTGTTTTTTTGAGACAGGGACTTGCTGTGTAGTTCCACCTGGCCTTGAACTCACTATGCTGCCCAGGCTGGCCTCGAACACATGGTGATCCTCTGCCTCAGCCTCTCAAGTGCTGGGATTACAGGTGTGTGCCACCACACCTGGCTTTAATCAATTATTTTTTTTAAAAAAGTAAACCTGTTGTGGTGGTACACGCCTGTATTCCCAGCTAGTTGGGAGGCTAAAGCAGGAAAATTGCAAGTTTAAGGTCAGGGTAGGAAGCTTTGTGAGACCCTGGTTTAAAACAAATTCATTTATTAAAAAAAAATTTTTTTGTTTTTTCGAGACAGGGTCTCACTATGTAGTTAAGGCTGGCCCAGCCCTCAAATGACACCTAGCTCAAAACACAAAATTAAAAAGGGTTAGGAGGTGTAACTCAAGAGTAGATCATTGGCCTAGGGTTCAATTCCCGGTGCAGCATTAAAAAAAAAAAAAGGCCAGGCATGGTGGCTCAAATCTGTCTTTCTAGCACTTGGAAGGCTGAGGCAGGAGGATTGCTGCAAGTTTAAGGCCAGCCTGAACTACATAGCGAGACCCTGTCTCAAAAAGGCAAACAAAAAATATATACTGCTGTTCTCATCCAGATAAAAAATTATGAAGGTTGTACATGAATGACAAGTTTAAGAAACAGTGGTGGGTGACATTTTAATTATCAACACTAAAGTGAGGCAATTATCACAATGTCAGTTTTTCTAAGATTAATGAGCAAGCCTACATGCTTACAAAATGTACAAGTATAAAGTAAAACAGTTGTTTTCGGTTTGCTGGCAATGATCTTCATCTCTATTAGAGGTGCTTCCTGGCCCTGCAAATGACTGATTTAGATGTAAGTAGATAATGTGTGTGTGCATACACAGATATATGTGACATATATACAGTATAAGATAGGTGCGAATCTATCTACAAAGCTATTATTTAAAAGGCAGTGGGGGCCAGGGATGTAGCTGAGTGGTGCTGAGTCTGCCTGGCAAATGCAAGGTCCTGAGTTCAATCCCCAGTACCAAAAAAATAAACAAAAGGCAACAGTTGGGTGTGGTGGTACACACCTGTAATCCGAGCACTTGGGAGGCTGTGGCAGGAGGATGGATCATCAATCATAAGTCAGAGGCCAGCCTGGGCTACATAGCAAGACTCTGTCTCAGGGAAAAAAAAAAAAAAAAGCAACAAAACCACACCCATAATCCCAGCACTCTAGGAGGGTGAAGCAGGAGGACTGAAAGTTTGAGCCAAACATGGGCAGTTGGGCAATTTAGTGACAACCTGCCTTTTAAAAAGGCAACAAACACACAGAGTTCTTAGTCTGCACATGCCCAGCACACGTTTGTACCCTTTCAGTTACGTACAGCAGCGGGGCAGTGTTAGGGAAAGTGTGATTTGAAGGAACTTGGGAAAGGGTCAGGTGTGTGGCCGTGTCCTGACTGGAAGAAAGAGCGCAGGAGCCACTTTCTGGACCCTGGGGAGCACCAAGGTGGGACGAGCTACCCGGGAACGGCAGCTCTCCCCAGAGTGTGGGGGGGTGCAGAGACCTGGGGCTGAGCCGCAGGTCAGCTTCCACTGCCAGCCTTCTCATCTCAACCGCCTGAGAGGCCAAACCACAGGCAGCCTGACCTGCAAGTCCACTCCCAGCCCAAGGCTAAAGGGGAAAGGAACCAAGGGGCCAGGCGCTGAGGCGCATGCCTGTGATCCCAGCCCTTTTGGAGGAGGCTGAGGCTGGAAGACTGCAAGTTTAAGCCTAACCTGGGCAACTCAGTGGGACTCTGTATACCCCCAAAAAACAGTGGGGAGCCAAAGGCCCTGATCCAGCCCTGGCACCATACAACCACACAGGCGCACACAATCACAAAGGCAACATGGCCAGGCGTGCTCCTCTCTAAAGAAATAAACTATGGGAGGACTGCAGCCATGAATATTGTTCTGCATCAGTTTTACAGAAACCTGTGCATTTATCACTTTCATTTTTTAAAAATGCCATCATTCTTCGGAGAGAAAAGCAGCACACACACTGAGATAGGTCAGATGCCCATTTTAATACAGGGAGACCACTGGTGCAGTCAGTAATTTGTGCTATTTTTTTTTTTTTTTCAGTTCTGCAGATTGAACCCAGGGCCTTCTCACTGAGCTACATTCCCAGCTCCTTTTCCCTTATTTTGAAACAGGGTCTGAGTTGCCTGGGATGGATTCAACTTGTGATCCTCCTGCCTCAGCCTCCCAAAGTGCTGGGATTACAGGCATGCACCACCATGCCCAGCTCTGGATTTCTGTATAGACTTCTTGCCATGTCTGTGTTTAGATGCACTTCTTATAAATGCACCATCATTTCACTGTTGAGAAGACTGAAAGCTCTGCCCCGGCCTTTTAAAATTCCAGATTGCTGGATGTGGTGACACAGCCTGTGATCCTAGCCCTTGAGAGGCTGATGGGAAAGAATAACTACAAGTTCCGGGACAGCCTGGAATGCATAGTTGAAGACCAGCCTGAACTACATGGCAAGAGTGTCTCAAAAACAAACCCAAAATAAAACTCCAGTTTGCCTGCTTTTGTTAACGCATGGTGGGGGGGCGGCGCGTGTGGCTGTACTGCGCATGGCACCCAGGACCTGGCATCTGGTCATGCGCACTGCGGTCTTGGTATAAGGGTCAGCCGTGCAATTCTTTTTTTTTTTGGCACTGGGAATCGAACTCGGGTCCTTGCGCTTGCAAGGCAGGCGGCGGAACCACTGAGCTAAATCCCCGGCCCTAGTGCAATTCTAAGTCCATAATAAATTAATACTATCTGTGATCTCATTTCTGTAAAATCAGTTTAACAACCCACAACCTTCGGACCAACTTGTGATCTCATTTTTAATCAAGCATTTCCTACTTTTCTTTCAAGTTTAATTGGAAAATATCCCGACTGCAAGATTTTTTTTTTTCAGTACCAAGGATTGAACTCCACTTTTTTTTTTTTCCGGTACCGGGAATCAAACTCAGGACCTTGCACTTGAGAGGCAGGTCCGGTGCCACTGAGCTACATCCCCGGCCCTGAGCTCCACACTTTTGAACTGGGCTATATCCCCAACTCTTTTTATTTTTTATTTTGAGACAGGATCTCACTAAATCACTAAGTTGCCTGGGCTAGGCTTGAACTTTTGATCCTCCTGCCTCAGCCTCTTAGGAGGCTGGTATAACAGGTGTGATACCACACCTGGCCTGACTTTTTATTGTCATAAAGGGAATGTAACATTGATATACAGGTAACAGTGACTTGCAAAATCTCCTGGAAGTTTTTAATGTTAAATTATAATTAATTATAATGTTAACAGTAAATTCTTACAAAGATGTTTCATGATTGCATAACAAGCAATTGATTATTAGACAAGGAAGGTATGCTCAATGCCAGATGAGTGACTGTAAGTAAATATGTACGGCGTACTGACACTTCTCTCGGCACAGAGCACAGCTGCAGTCTGGCCGTCCGGACACCTCTGGACAACTAGCAGCAAAGTGGTAAATCTTCTGTGCTCTGAAGATCCTGTCTAAGTTCTAGAGGGACTTCTTCTTTTAGCCACTAGATTCTTCAGGAAAAATTCACCTATTTGGGAAAAATAAAAATACATTAATATGACTTTAAATTAAATAACAGTGCTACTATTATTTCAGAATTATGCTTCACTATTTTCCTTATAAAGACTTTTGTACTTACTGGCATTTCTCCTCACATCTCTTTTTTTTCCAGTACCAGGGATCAAACTCAGGACCTTGCACTTGCCAGTCAGGCATGGTGCCCACCACTAAGCTAAATCCCTGCCCTTCTCCTCAAATCTCAAAGATAGTATTTTTCTAAATATTTCCTTATCTTTGGCCCTTTCCCCACTGTTCTTTTAAATAGTCTCAACTATTATTCTTTGTAACATACTGTGCAATTCTGTAAGTGTGATCCTACTTTATCCATGAGGGTGCTTCTGTGTATTTATCCATTTTATTTTTCTGTTTGTTTTGTTTTTTGAGACAGGGTCTGGCTTTGTAGTTCAGGCTGGCCCTGAACTCAATATGTAGCCCAGGCGGGCCTCAAATTCACTGCGATCCTTCTACCTCAGCCTCCTAAGTGCTGGGATTACAGGCATGCACCACCATGCCTGGTGTATTTATCCACTTTATGTGCGGTATCTCTTCGTCATCACTGAAAAAGTACTGCTGTTGGAAAAATTCATTTCTGAGAGCAATTCTGCTGCACAATTAGCCCAGACTTGCTGTTTGTAGAACACCTCGTTGCAGTGCAGCAGGCTCAACTGGATGGGGTCTGTTCACGCCTCCCTGCAGGGAAGGGGGCTTAGCTCCCACGCCAGCTGTGCCGCAGCAAGGTCGCTGCTCAGGGGCACAGGCGCTTTCCCTGGTTGCTGCTTACTGCAGGCCTGATGATCTGAGGGGTCTGACGAGCATCTCTGTCAGCTCACACACATGGTTGGAACTGCGGTGACCGCATCTGCACAGTTGCCAAGAGTCCCAGGACTTGACCCAGCCAAGAGACCTGCATGGCTCCGCCCTGGCCAAAGCCGGCAAAGCAGAACCGACATAATCAGACTTGAATCCACCATCTCAGTCTAATGCTCTGGCCAGAATCCAGTCTTTTACTGGTAATTAGCTTTATTTACTGGCAATTTTAAACATTAAAAATTCATAGTTCACTTAAATGTTAGAAATTTTTCTTAAAAAAAAAAAAGCTTCTTTCAAATTACATTACTCCATTTCAACCTCTCTAGAAGCTGATGTTGGTTCATCCCTTACTTTCAGCTCACCAGTAGCCCTGCTTCAAGACTAAGTCACCTGTGATTACTGCTCATGTTAGTGATGAATCAAATTCTTGGGTTTACAACCAGTATAAACAATGTCTTCAAGCTCTTATAGGAACACACCAAGAATTACTAATACTTGAACATTTAGACATCTATGGTTTAGACTCTAAAATATAAGAAATCATTCAAATAACCTTTAATAATAATGACAGCCATGCATTGTGGCACACAGCTATAATCACTCTTGGAGGCTGAGGCAGGAGGATCAGAAGTTTGAGGACCGGGGATTTAGCTCAGTGGTTTCACTGCCTGCTGCGAAAGCGCAAGGACCTGAGTTCGATCTCCGGTACCAAAAAAAAAAAAAAAAAGGAGGATCAGAAGTTTGAGCCCAGCCTATGCAATTTAAGTGACCCTGTTTTACAAAAAGGGCTGGAGCTGAGGATACAGTTCAGTGAGAAGGCCCTGAGTTCAGTCCCCAGTGCTGCAATAATAATCAATACTTTAGACATCTCCCCAAAGACCTAGCTCTTTATTCTTAGTTATAACTGTTAAGTCGAACTGACATGGAAAAAATACTATATTTTTTAGATTAAATTCAGTCTTCAGATACGTTTTCATGGGCTTTCTTGTGGCCATTATCAACTTTTTATCCCTTGGAAAAATATTTTTATTTTCATAAATCAGATGCTCAAGCAACTGATCAAAACAAGAGCTGAATTCCAGAAGTGAAAAATTGCATTGTAGCTAATTTTTTTCTGTTACCTCTAGGGGGATAAATACAAAGAAATTAACAGTATGAGCATCGATGCTATCAAGTTTCAGTGCTTAAACTGATCTCAAACTGCAAGTCTGGTGATGCAGCTGATATCATTTGCAAATGATAAACACTTTCCAGAAAATCTTATTATATGCTTGATAGGCTTTGTCGTTCTATATAATCCACTGGCAAAACGCACACGTAGAGCACTGGAATAAACCAAATGTCCCTGCTTTCCTGGAGGGGCCTGACATATCGCGCGCGCGTGCGTGCGTGCGTGCGTGCGTGCGTGTGTGTGTGTGTGTGTAGGTGAGTGTTTAAAGAACAAACAGTGTCAAAGAAACATGTTCTTGGCCCCTGTGGAGAAAGTTCCAAAGACTGCTCTGGCAAACATATTTTCTTTCTCTTACAAAAGACAACCTCAGCTGTTAACAATCTGCTTTACAGCTTCGGTGATCTGGTTAGAAATGAACAAGACAAGTTTTTATTTCATTTTTATTGCCACGTGTTTGCGTCCCTCGTGGGGAGCGGGTACATGTCCACAGCACATCCGAATGACCAAGGAAAGCCACGGGCCTAATTATAACCACACCCCACAGTCCAGCTCACCTGCTTTATATGAAGAACGCACCAGAGGACCACTTGCAGTGTAATGAAATCCAAGTTCATGTCCTACTTTTTCCCAGTATTTAAACTTTTCAGGAGTAATATATTCTTCAACCTAGATTTAAAGAATCACTTCAGATCAGATTCCAGAATTCCCCTAAGTAATTCTGACTCTATATAAAGTCCATACCCACGAATTCAGAGTGATTTGCACTTTGTCATTTCCCAGGCCCGTCCCCAGTCCCTCCCTCCCTGCTGAGCACCTTGCTGGCTGCTCTGTCAGACCACAATTTCGAGGAATCAGAAAGTCAGGGGTTGGGGACACACCACTCTTGTACTACTTCAGGCAGTCACAGGACAAAGATGAGGTTTTCTCTAGAGAGAATTTATATTTTCCTGCACTGATTAACATGTGGAGTCCAGAATGACTCAGGTTTCTACAGTTCCTGAGGACAGAGCTCTCTTGTTCACCCTGGATTTTCTGCTCAGCATTCTGATGGCCACACAGTCACTATCTGACACCAGCTTCTAGAAATAGCCATACCAGCTTCTCTTTCTTACTTCAGCTTTGGCTCCTCACATAACTCTCAAAAAAAATCACAGGATCACCGAGTGTCACTGAGTGCAATTTCCCAGTGTTTGTATCCTTTTTCTGTCAGTGCACTTGAGTTATACAATTTGCACAGCAGCAAGTGAGTGCCAGGGTAACTGCTTTATGTAGATAATAAAGTGGAGGCAGAGACTCATAAATATATATGGAACATTATACTAAAAATCCAGTAGTTTTTTTTTTTGGTACCAGGGATTGAACTCAGGACCTTGCATGTGTGAGGCAGGTGGTGGAACCATTGAGCTAAATCCCCGGCCCCATTAGTTTCTTATTTTTACCTGTAGACAATGAAGATATAATTCAAATTATCAAGAAACACTTGGCAATTCAAGATCTCCATACCTTCAGGTGGCGTTTTGTGGGCTGCATATATTGCCCTAAAGTTAAACAGTCCACATCTGCTCCACGAAGTGCTGCAGGAAAAAAAGCAAAAATTATATTAGCAGGTATGGATTGAAATATAATCTTCCCGAGAAGTATTTCATAAGGGTGAACTTCATGTTCGTCTATAATCCTCACGATGGGGAAGAAGACTACAGTAGTCTTTTTTGTTGGTACCAGGGATCAAATTCAGGACCTTGCGCATGCAAGGCAGGCAGTGGTAGTCTTTTAAAAATATTTATGTGCCAGGGCCCAGGACGAGGACTGGAATGATTAACATAAGCATGGGGGCTGACAGACATAAAGATGAGTGCACCTAATACCACAGAATAGTGCTAGGATGAGAGTCAGCAGTGTTCAGAGCAGGAGTCTGTCAGGCAGAAAAGGTGAAGGGCAGTATGGAAAAGCCTAAAAACACTGTATTACAGGCCAAACCTGCTGTATTAGGCTTTTACTCAGTGTACAAGATATGCTCTCTTTGGGATGTCATTCAACTGCTGACATATCAGAATCTTCCTAAAAACCCTGTACAGTGTAGTAAACAGGAGCTTTTAATTACCATTTGAACATACTACTTTTTGAACTACTAATGACTATAAGTAAGCCAAAGGCCCCCAAAGAAATTAAAAACTTCTATATTTCAAAGTTTAAAAAAACCAAGAGGGCCGGGGATTTAGCTCAGTGGTTCCACCGCAAGCGCAAGGTCCTGAGTTTGATCTCCGGTACCAAAACAAAACAAATAAAAAGACCATGAAAGCCAGGTATGGTAGTGGATGCCTGGAATCCTAGCACCTAGGAGGCTGAGGCAGGAGGATGGAAAGCTTGAGGCTGGGGCAGGGGATGTAGCTTAGTGGCAGACACTTGCCTAGCATGTGGAAGGCTGTAGGTTGAAACCCAGTGCTGTTGGGGAGGGGGCTTGGAGCCTGGGGCGGTGCTGCACACCCATAAGCCCAGCACTAGGGAGCCTGAGCAGAGAGGGCCGGAAATTCTAGTCCCACCTGGGCAACTCAGCAAGAGCCTGTTTCAAAATAAAATTTTAAAAAAAGGGCTGGGGATGTAGCTCAGTTGTAGAGTGCTTGGCTAACATGGATAATGTTTAATCTCCAGTATCCCCAACCCCCAAAAGTGACATAAACTTCCCATCTTGAGCTTTGTGCATCTCACTCCATGAAGTTCTAAGAACCATACTTTCCTTTCCTGTTGAATTTACAACCATGGACTTGTTTTTGGTTCTGGAAATCAGACTCAGAGCCTCACAAGAGCTAGGCAAGCTCTGTGCCAAGGGGCTTAGCTTACAGCCAATGGAGGCACAAATTGAACAGGGCCTTCAAAGTGGGGCTCCTGTTGTTACTCCAATTAAATGTGGAAAGGTTTTCATTTCTTTTCTCTTGGTACTGGGGATCGAACTTGGGACCTTGCACTTGCGAGGCAGGCAACGGAACCACTGAGCTAAATCCCCGGCCCTGGTTTTCATCTCTTAATTTCTTTACCTTTCATTGTTGCATACACTTGCTCATCGTTCTCACCCAAACCCAACATTATTGATGTTTTTGAAATAATAGCCGGCTGAACCTCCTTGGCGAGTTTCAGCACACGCAGAGACTGGTCGAAGTTGGCCCGGGGATCGCGAACTTTTCTGGAAAACAGTGGGGCTGTCCTCAGCATGGACAACTACAAGTTCAACCATGGACACGGTCAGGCAAGCAACCTGAGTGACCAGAAAAGGACATTCTGGACATTGTCATTACACAGTTCAATGGTAGCACTTGTATACAAATTCCTGTTACTATAGGAAAGCAAATAGGGCTTCTGTGGCCTTCCTGGATCTGCCAACATTTGAGCCTTCTTCGGGGCAGAGAAAATTAGAAGTCATTTTAAATGCGAATTATGCAGCTCAAAATTAATGACTATAAAGGACAGTCGAAAGACGAGAGAAAAAGAGCGAAAGTAAGACAATCTCCATATTGGACAAAGAAAAACGAACCTGAAACCACATTCAGAGGGTTGAAACTTAAATTCCTTTCTTTCCTACAGTCTAAGCTGCCCTCTGCTGGTGAGTACGCGACACTACATAGTTCTGGAATTTTCACTGGAAATGATGGTGTTTCTTAAATGAAACCAGGGCATTTGGCACCTACTGCTGGTGATGTCATGCCAGAGTCAGACTTCAACAAAGGCCGAAAGACCCTGGCTTTCACGAAGAGAAAGCCAAGAGGTCGGAAAGTTGCTGATCTTAAATCAGCATTCATTTCAATTCTAAATTATTTTCTGTAATCAATTTTTTGTTGTTGTTTTACATCAGAGACGAGGAAAAAAAATTTATGAATTGAAAAATAACCACAAAACCATGAATATAAAAAGTTACTTTTTAAGTATTTCTCCACTGAATCTAAATTATGTTCTATAATGGCTGTGATTTAGTAAAAATGCTTGTTACTGTTAATTCATAATTTTATGTTTTATGTACAGAATAATGTATAGAGGCTAATAAAATCACAAATATTTTTTTTTTTTTGGTACCGGGGATCAAACTTGGGACTTTGTGCTTGCCAAGCAGGAGGCAGAACCACTGAGCTAAGCCCCCAGTGCCACAAATATTTATTTATTTATTTATTTATTTATTTATTTATTTATTTATTTTTGGTACCGGGGATTGAACTCAGGTCCTTATGCTTACGCAGCAGGCGGTGAAACCACTGAACTAAATCCCCAGCCCCACAAATACTTTTTTAAAGTTAAAGGAAATGAACACCATTAGTCTTGCCTGAGATTTAAAATAATTTTCATCTTTTAAAAATTTGAATATAGTCCTTATGTCAAATAACTATCCTTATTCCTAATTACCAAATTTACTAGGAAGAATAAAGAAGTAATGTCTACTTTTTAAGGGAGATTTAAAATACATCTGAATATCAGTTTTTCTGTTGCATCATTTACTATATATATTAGTGTCATATATATTATAGGTATATAGATACATTATACGAGGTATAATTGAAACTATGGTGAATGCTTACATTTTAAAAATTTATTGTAGTAATAGACACATCACCATTAATCCCCCTCAAAATATTTCTCACTTTGAACACACTTATTCTGTTATTCTTGCCACTGTCTGAAGCAGTTCTGGAAGTCCTCTTTCTTGTCTTTAGTTGCACTGTTGTGGCTGTCTCCATATCCTACATAAATTCTGACTTTGGAAAGAGCCAGAAGTCACATGGTGCCAAATAAGGCAGATGAGGACACGCTGTAATGTTTTTATAACCCTACCTTTCTGTTGGAGGGCACTCATCAGCAGCATTCACTGTATTTTTGATCACACCTCGTAAAGACACTCAGGAAAGGACTTCCAGAACTGCTTCACAAAGTTGCAAGAGCCAGGGATGTAGCTCAGTGGCCCTGGGCCTGCCTGGGAAGTGCAAGGTCCTGAGTTTGATCCCCAGTATGGGGTAGGGATGGGGGACCAACAACAAAAACAAAGTTGCAAGAAGGATGAGATTAAGTGTGTTCAAAGTGAGGGGGAGTATGAATGGCAATGTCTTTTACTGTATAAGTACTTTAAAATTTAAACATTCATTGTATATGTTGCTCACTGTGTGTGTGTGTGTGTTTAATGTTGAGGATAGAACCCAGGACCTTGCAGATGCTTGGCAAGTGTTCTACTACTGAGCTACACCCCCAACTTCCCAAATGTATTTTAAACTCTTTCATGTATTTACAGCCAAAGGAATTGTTTTAGTGTACTTTTATTTCCATTTGAAAACTGTTCTTTGAAAAAAGAAATACCCATTGGCATTTGCAATATGTTAATTTTTTTGTCTTTTTGAGACTATGTAGTCCAGGCTGACCTCAAACTTGCAGCAGTGCTCCTGCCTCAGCTTCCCAATGCTGGGGTTACAGGTGTGCACCACCACACCCAGTGGGGTACTATTTTTAAAAAAGAGAAAAAGGATATTCATCAAAATATAGCCATTTAACAATATCAGTCACTACCACCTTTTTTTTTTTTTTGTACCGGGGATTGAACTCGGGTCCTTGCGCTTGCAAGGCAGGCGACAGAACCACTGGGCTAAATCCCTGCCCCAGTCACTACCACCTTAATGTATGCATTTATGTGTATAAATATTAACCCTGAAGTGGCAGTGATACTCTTGGGTGGAAATATGGGTGATGTTAATGTTGTTTTTGTTGGCTATATTTTCTGATTTTTCTATAATGGAAGAAAGAAAGAAAGGAAAAGTGGAAAGAAGAAAAGGAGAGAGAAAAGGAGGAGAGAGGAAGGCAGAGAAGGAGGGAAGAAGGAGGGAGTGAGTTTACTTTGGAAAAATCCATTGCAAAGTTTGGCACTGAAAAGTGAGAACATATTAGAATACTGTGACCATCCCAATTTCCCAGCATGACTATATGTGAACTCACCCCTGTAGTTCCCGAACTGTTTCGACGTTATGCGCATAAACATCTAATCCTGACAGGGCAACCTTTTCTACTGCTTTAAGATCTCCTCGGAAATCAGGGGTGAGGCATTCCACTAGAATTTTTGGATTCCTAGAGGGAAAAGGGAGAAGTATCAAACTAAGGAAAGGAACTAGAAGCACTGTTACTTGAAACAAATTATCAGTTCTCATTCAGTATCAGTTTCAACACACTAATCCTTAGAACTTTGCTGAGAAAAGCCTGGGCATACAAGTGTTCATATACAAACCATTATATGAAAAAATAAAAACATCCAGTCGTATGCACACAATGGTTAAAATACACTTGCATGCAAATAACAATCAGAATAAAAATACTTTTGCAATCAGAATAAAATTTGAGATCAGCTAGACTTGTGTGTGTTGTGTGTGTGTATGTATGATACTGAGGAACCCAGGGGTGCTCTACCACAGAGCTACATTCCCAGCCCCCTTTCGGTTGGTTTGAGACAGGGCCTCACCATGTAGTTCAGGCTGGCCTTGTACTCCCTATGTAGCCTAGGCTGGCCTCAAACGCGCAGCAATCCTCTTGCCTCAGCCTCCTGAGTTCTGGGATGACAGGCATGTGCTACCACACCCAGCTCTAGGCAAATATTTCACAAGTGCTATGGGCTTTAAAAAACTTTTCTGGGCTGCTGAATTATGAATTTGCTTAAAAGAAGTACAAGCTATGGGCCGGGGATTTAGCTCAGTGGTTTCGCTGCCTGTGGCGCAAGCGCAAAGACCTGAGTTCGATCCCTGGTACCAAAAAAAAAAATTTAAGAAGTACAAGCTAAAAATTAATCTTATTTGTATTATAGCTGTGTCCATCCAAGTATTATAATGTCAACTGGATCACAGAGCTGTTCTCTTTGACAACTAGCAGAAATAATTAAGGGTTGACCAGATTTTTCACAAACCCAATGGCAAAGTATCTAGAGAAAAGGGGCACACCCTTTCAGTCTATTTGTCTGGGGTCTAACCCATCTCATGCATGCTAGGCAAATGCTCTACCACTGAGTTGTCCCCAGCCCTTTTTATTTTTTTATTTGGAGAAAGCGTGTTGCTAAGGTGTCCAGGCTGGCCTGGAACTTGTGATCCTCCTGCCTCAGCCTCCTGAGAACTGGGATGACAAGCATGTCCCACTCTGCTGGCTTCACTGTCTTTTTTTTTGGTACTGGGGATCAAACAAGGGTCCTTAGCTTGTGAGGCAGGCGGTGGAACCACTGAGCTAAATCCCCGGCCCTTCACTGTCTTTTTTAAAACTGCAAGTTGATATCTATTAGTAGCTTGTGAAAGAAAGTTAATGGGTCGTAAACATATTTTTAGAAATGAACCATAATAAATGGAAAACAAAATAATGGCAAATCACTGGAAAAACATTTACTAAGTAGGTAGACGTTATAGACTAGCACTGAGTTATAAGAAATGAGCTTTTTTTTTTTTTTTTGAGACAGAGTCTCACTAGGTAGCCTAGGCTGACCTTGAACTCACAGCAATCCTCCTGTCTCAGCTTCCTGAGTGCTGGCATTACAGGCATGCTCCACCATGCCTAGCTAGCATATCCCTTTTTAAATGCTATTTTAAATACATGGGGTTAAATTTTTATTAAAAATGTGGATTTTGGGTAAAAATCTCCAGGGCATATAAATATGAATGAAGTCTGTATCAAGAAATATATTTTCATAATGTTGGAGTTTATTTCATTCTGAGTGTTTTAAAATGATGATTTATTCAAAACCAGTGTTAAGAAGACACAGTTTAACAATTTCAAATTTCTAATTTTTTGCCAGGTGTGGTGGCACATGCCTGTAATCCCAGCATTTGGGAGGCTGAGGCAGGAGGATCACTATGAGTCTACATAGTGAGACCCTGTCTCAAAAAAAATACTAATGGTCCAAGGATCTATACATGCGATGGAACTCTTAACATTTTCTGCAAATATTGTATGTATCTGTATGCACAAATATGGTCTTTCTGGAGAAAGAATTACATACTTTCTAGCAGATTTTCGGAAAGATGAAATTTCTCACAAGGTTAGTAATCAATCCTTTAAGGGAAAGGCCTTAAGTTGGAGTCATATGGGTCCAAAAGGTCCTTAAAGTATATAAACAAATACCTTTCCTTCAAGTATGACACAGTCTTTGCAATGTGCTCAGCTCCCCCATCAGGTATATCTAGAAAGAAAATCCACTGCTCAAGGTGATGTCACCACACAGTAAAAGCCAACTGCGGGCAGAGGCCACGGTGACACACTAACCATCTCGATCTACAGAGGTCAGGACAACGTAATCCAGGCCCCACTGTGCGATCGCTGTTGCGGTGTTGTAGGGCTCGCTGGCATCCAGAGGAGGTGGGTTTCTTGCAGTCTTAACAGAACAAAATCTGCAACCTCTTGTGCATGTGTCACCCATCAACTAGAACAGAGATTTAAGTCAGTCAGATGGCCCTCAGGAACATAATGCTGAAAGCAAGTTGCACAGAATATGAAGAGAATGATTCCATTTGTAAAAATCTGAAATGCATATAGTACATTGTTAAGGATTATAAACATGTAAAATGAGAAAGAGAAGGAAATGACAAATTCAGAATTAATAGTATTAAGGGAAAAGGAGAGGCGATGGGGCCCAGGGAGAGACACACAATCCAAATTTTAAAATTCAATTTAAAAATGGGATCCCAGGAGCCAGGGATTTAGCTCTGCGGCACCACACCTGCCTCTCAAGCACAAGGTTCTGAGTTCAATCCCCGGTGCCTGGAAAAAAAAAAAAAAGGGATCCTAATACACATTTAGGGGACAGATGGGGACTTCAAAGATAGGTATCTGTTGTAATGTTATACTTTATAACTTATAAAGATTTCCTTGTATCTCTCTATTCACTAAGTATAGTCCATGTTTGCAGTACCTGATTATGTTCATCGTGGGGAGTTAGTACATGTACATAACATATCTGTGTTGCGTTTTAACTTCGTCCTTCCCTCCTCTCCCCTTGTTCAATAAATGTGATTTTAAGACACAAAATATTCAATCAGATCAATGTGCAGATTTATGTTAGTTAAATGGAAGGCACAGCTCCTTATTAAATATGTAAGACAGAAAAACATAAGAAGTTATCAGGAAGAACATTTCCAAAAGTGAACAGAAAAGGGCTCTCAAGGCAGCACACAGTTAACTATCAGACAGATGGAAGAAGCAATAATAGATTGATTCAGAGAAGGTGATACACAATAGGTTATTCTGTCAGGTTTATTTCCTTATACTTCTCATAAACTCATTCATAATGAGAAATGTGACCATAGGTTCACACTGCACATATTTTTTTTTTTTGGTACCGGTGATCGAACTCGGGTCTTTGCGCTTGCACAGCAGGCGGCGAAACCACTGAGCTAAATCCCCAGCCCAACACTGCACATTTTTACGAGGAGGATACGAAATGCTCATTTATTTTTTTTTTGGTACCTGGGATCAAACTCAGGACCTTGCGCTTTTAAGGAAGGTGCAGCTCCACTGAGCTAAATCCCTGGCCCATGAAATCCTCATATCTACACTAAAGTTTGAGGCCAAGCTGACTTTACCATGATTGTGGCTGTGGCAGTGGCATATTCACCACCTCCCCAACACTCTCCAATATTGGGACATCGAGCTTCCTCACACACCTGTAAGTAAAAGGGATCAGAATAAAAGCAGGTTGAAAATACCAAACAATTGAACAATTATTAGAAACTTTAAGATCCCTATTGTTTACTACTTTTTTTTCCCTGTACTAGACACTGAACTTGGTCTCGTGCAGGCTACACAGCTCTTTAGTACTGAGCTGTAAACCCAGCCATTTTTTAAAATTTCACTTTGAGACAGAGTCTTCCTAAGTTGTCCAGGTTGGTTTTGAACTCGAAATCCTCCTGCCTCAGCCTCCAGAACAGCTAGGATTATAGGCATATGCCACCATGCCCAAAACAACATATTTCATACTCTTTCCAGCAGACATGTACTTGATTTCTAATATAAAATGAACAAGCCTGGCAGCATGGTGGTATGAGCCTGTAATCTCAGCTACTTGGAAGGCTGAAGTAGAAGGATTACCTGAGTCCAGGAGTTTGGGATCATGTGCTCGCTTTGGCAGCACATATACTAAAAATAGGAGTTTGGGATCAGCCTGTGCAACATAGCTAGACTCCAACTCAAAACAAACAAAAACCCAAACCAGCTAGGCCTAGTGGTGCACATGCACTCAGGAGCCTAAGGCAGGACGATCATGGGTTTGAGGCCAACCAGGCTACACAGAGGAAGTTCAACGCCAGCCTGAGCTACATAAGGAGATCATGTTTGAAAAATCCACAAAACAATGACCTCAAACCAACAAAAACCCCTTGCTTCCCAAGTTGCAAGGCATATCTCGAGAGGTTAAGAAATATAATAACCTTTGTTTCTTTTGTAGATTGTGTGTGTGTGTGTGTGTGTGTGTGTGAACTCAACCACTGAGCTACACCCCCGGCCCTTTTCATTTTTTTGTTTTGAGACAGGGTTTTGCAAAGTTGCCCACGCTGGCCTCAAATTTGCAATCCTCTTTCCTCAACCTCCTGATAGCTGGGATTTTCTAAGCCACTAAATTTGGCTTGGAAAAATGATTTTAAATGCATTTTTTGGAGGGAGTGCTAGGGATCAAACCCAGGGCCTCACTGAACTGCATCCTCACGCCCTAAATGTGTTTTTATTCCTGACAATAATGCATCACTTAACATCATTATTTACTTTCCTTGCTGTTATTCAAATATTTATTAATTTTGTTACAAATGAATGGAAATACAGGTTCAGATTAATAGCAGGTAGTTAACACTGTAAGAACTTACTGTATGGAGATTTAAATTCCGCAATGTATTTTTCAGTTTATTGTAATTTTTTCCCATTGGAATCTCTGTCTTTAGCCATGGAGGCAGTCTCAACCTGAAGAAAGCCAAACATAACTGTCTGTAACAAACAGGCTGACAGGGCTGGGGATTTACCTCAGTGGTTTTGACACCTGCTGCGCAAGCGCAAGGACCCGAGTTCGATCCCCGGTACCAAAAAAACCAAAACAAAACAAATAGGCTGACAAATAATCACACAGCTTTTAAATTATTTTACTCTATTACCAATTCTACTTAAAAATTTTTCCATAATCCTAGATTCATTCTTAATTTCTGCCATAAGAGGAGGAACAAAGACTTAAATTTATGCTTGGTTAGAACACTTTAGAGATCACCAATAATGCGGTCTAACAGGGCACTGTGCTCACTTCTACCTTTTGCAAAGGCACAAAGTTGCACCATTCTTTGTTTTTTTTCCCCTCGGAACTGGGGATTGAACTCAGGACCTTGCACTTGCCAAGCAGGTGCAGCACTACTGAGCTATATCCCCAGCCCAAAGTTGCACGATTCTAATAAAAGAATAAAGAAGTCTTTGAACATTTCATTCCCTATGAGAAATACTACCAAAAGTATTATATTAACTCAGATGGTCTTTTTTTTTTTTGAGATGGGGTCTTACTATGTAGCTCAAACTGGCCTTGAACTCATAGCGATCCTTTTGGCTCAGCCTTCAGAGTGCTGGGATTACACCGTGCCCATTTTAATTCAGATTAAAAAGAGATACTAACCATGTACTATTTGTTTGACATTGTAGATTTTATGGGCTTTTTGTTTGTTTGTTTTGGGGATATGGTCTCGCTATGTGGCTATGTAGTTCAGGCCGGCCTTGAACTCACTATGTAGCCCAGGTGGCCTCAGGCTGGAGGCAATCCTCCTGCCTTAGCCTCCTGAGTGCTGAGACTACAGGTGTGCACCACCACGCCTAGCTAATGGTTATTAAATGGAAAAAAAAATCTACAATTTGGAGTGGAGACTACACGCTCAACTTCACTCACCTGTGTTCTGAAAGTTGTGGAATAGTCCTCAAAACTATTTCCCCCCTTGGGGCCAGGGATTTAGCTCAGTGGTTCTGAAGCCTTCCTTGTAAGTGCAAGGTCCCGAGTTCGATCCTCGGTACCAAAAAAAAAAAAAATCTCTACTTGGGCCAGGGATTTAGCCCAGTGGTTTCAGCGCCTGCCTTGCAAGCGCAAGGTCCCGAGTTCGATCTCCGGTACCAAAAAAACCTATTTTCCCTCTGCATGAAAGCCTCACCATTCTTTTAAATTAAGACAATGTATCCACAGGTCATATGTAAACTTGTTAACAAGTTAGATCATAGTATCCACTTATAATTTAAAAATCATCACACTCTAATAGCTTAATAGCTTAATAGCAAGGTGATAACTTTCAGTCTCTTTAAGACTCAGAAAGGCCGGGGATTTAGCTCAGTGGTTCCGCCGCCTGCCTCGCAAGTGCAAGGTCTGGATTTCGATCCTCATACCAAAAAAAAGAATCAGAGGCTGGGTAGAAAGTGGGAAGATGGTAGTATTTTATAGTTGAGTTTTAGGAAAGATGAAGAAAACCTGCTGAAGACCACAGGAAAAAAAATTCCAACAATTTCTAGTTACCCATTCTATATAGAGCTGTTATCTCTTCTTTCTCATGACTTTTAGTTAAGTTTAACAAGTTTGAAATTAAAAATATGCTCTACAGCTTGGTTATATTTAAAAATAATGCAGTGAAAGAATGGGACATTAAAATTGTCTCAAAATTTCAATTACCTTTCTCCTTTCTGGCGTTTTAAGTTTCCTTTATATTCATCCCAGTTGCTCTTGTCTGCAAGATCACCTGATACAAAATCTTGAAGGTCTGGCCCATTCTGTAAAAATTCCTTTTTTTTATCTGACAAGGAAGTTACTGCTCTGAGTGGGCTGTATAAACATCTTCCAAACACCTAAAGAAAGAGTACATTATAATACTCACTTAGTAGGGCCTGGAATAATGCAGTTTTAACCTTTATAATACTTAAAAGGGTAAAGCCAAATAATTGATGTAGAAATTGTTAAAGCTGGTGTGGTGGTGCACACCTGTGATACCAGCACTCAAAAAAATAAAAAAATTTTTAAAAAGACTCAAACCTAAAGAATAGGAATTAATTGTGGCATAGATCTAGGAACCTGTCTAATTTAAATCATACTTTTGGGGGGTTGGGGTGGGGACAGGGACTCGCTATTAGTTCAGGCCGGCCTTGAACTCATTATGTATCCCAGGCTGGCCTCCAACTCATGGCAATCCTCCTGTCTCAGTCTCCCAAATGCTAGGATTACAGGCGTGTGCCACCACGCCTGGCGAGTCACTCTTACAGGTGCTACAAGTTTGTTTTTCAACAAATTTCAACTGCAATCACTGGGGATGATGCCATAGATGTTTTCTATTTCTGATTTGAGACAGATGTTTACAAGGAAATTGGCAATACATCTCTCTAGCGTAGATAAGTGTAAGTATTAAAAGGCAAGCAATGCTAGATTCGTTTCAAAAACTGAAAGGAAGAAGAAAAAAAGACCTGAAAGGAGGATAACCAAATCTAACTTGTTTTAATTTTTCTAGGTTACGTTGTTTCTGTGTTTGAACATGACAGGTCTTCTATGCATTTGTCCGGGATAAGAAGTAACAGCATTTGGCTTCTAGATGTGAACACAAGCATGCACGAGATAACCAAACTAAAATTTACGAGTCAATACATGTAACGCAAAGGGACTTTTGATTCAAAAATCATGCCTGTTAGGGCGCTGCACAAGGGCGAGTGCACTTATCAATGTCTACAGCTTTAGTTTAGAGGTCAGGCTCATGTTCTCAGCGATCAAGGGTGGTGTCTAATACACAGTAAGGGCCCAATACAGAGCAGTTATTTGGGGTGCTTACTGTAGTGTTCTAAAATAAATACAGGGCACAAACCACTCTATAAGCAGGGGAAAATCAAAACCTTAAAAACAAAATCTTCAGCATCAGCCCAGAGAGCCCTTCAAACAAAACAATACCAGAGACTACCTCACAGGGATGTTAAATAACAGAAGAAAAACGATTCGATCCTTGCCCGGCTACAAGTAAACGTTCAAGGAGCGTTGGCCTTCATTGCAGGAAATGGAACCCCCTACCCCACGCTTGCACCCTTCTCGCTCTGCCTCTCACCCGGGGCACCAGGGTGCGAGCTGCGTTCCCGCAGCGTAGAGACATCCCCTCTTTAGGCCTAGTAGGGTCGAGGGACGATGGGATCACTAACTCCCGAGAGAAGACAGCTGGGGGGGGGGGAAGTCGCTCAGTTTATGACGCTACACCACAGACAATCAAGCTCTGTGATTGGTTGCTTTAGCCTGAGTGAGTCGCGTACTCGTGACGCAATACGCAAGGCCTTTACTGGCTACAAGTACGTGATGACGAAAGACGCTCTCTCTTTGCCGCATCTCTTTCGAGGTGAGACGGTTTCTGTACTCTTGTGGGGTCTGGGTATCTGAAGCCATCGGCTGTGGGAAAGCCAGCGCCATGGCCCCAACACTCGGAGTTCTTGTCCTGATTGTCTCCCAGCGCCATATGGATCTGGCGGCGCGGAGATCTGAGTCCCGTTCTGGCCTTTTAGGCCTACCCTCCCCTCCCCGAGCTTTACCGGTATGGCGCGCCTACTGGGATTTATACGGTCGAACACAGCATGAGTTAGTCCAGTGGGCTTCATGACACCCGTTGTGGGGCTGCTTCCAGGCTAGGACGCGCGGGAGGCCGCTCTTGGCCTCAGTCTCCTTAGATCCTCATCGGATTGCCTGTCAGGCATTCTCCGGTGGAGTGCAGTCTAGTCTGGTGGAAAAGTCCCTCCGAGTTCTGGCCTTATTACCTTAGGTGTGTTTGTGTTTCAGAATGAAGACCATTCTCAGCAATCAGACTGTCGACATTCCAAAAAATGGTACGAGGCTTGATGTTTTCCCGTAATTCTTTTCGTATTCTAAGCCTTGTTCGGTGATCTCACAAATTCGTTCCCTGTTCTAGTTGACATCACTCTGAAGGGACGCACAGTTATTGTGAAGGGCCCCAGAGGAACCCTGCGGAGGGACTTCAACCACATTAATGTAGAACTCAGTCTCCTTGGAAAGAAAAAGAAGAGGGTGAGTTTTTTGGGGCCTCTTATAAGAGTATCAGATGTTACAAATTAGATTTATTTTTGTCGTCATTGCTTATATAGGAAGCAGATGGTATTTTTACTTTCCAAAAATGAAGTTTTTTGCAACCTATACAAAAAATTGATATTTCAGGTTGTCATTACATCGTAAAATTACGGTAACGTTTGTGGACTGTAGAAGGCTCTAGATGGATTAGATTTTCCCAGAAGAAAATTGTGTGCTTTAATTAGGATTAGTTTTTTAATCTGTTCAGTAGATAAGTGAACTATTCTCTTAGAAGCATATTTATTTAAGGAAAGCTATCTAAACGTTTTATCCTGTTACAGCTCCGGGTTGACAAATGGTGGGGAAACAGAAAGGAACTGGCTACTGTTCGCACAATCTGTAGTCACGTACAGAACATGATCAAGGGTGTTACACTGGTAAGCCAACCGACTGTCATATTTTTTTAACCCTCTGGGAGAGGTTTGTCAGTTGTATTTTATGTGCACAACATAAATGTCTATTGTTGGAAATGGATTGTGCCTGTAGTTTGGTGAGATTTGTGATCTCCGAAATTGACCAGGCATCCCTGTCTTGAGGATTGAGTGGTGAATGTGAGAAAAGATCAGAAAGTAGGCTTATATGGTGTGTTTTCCCATAAAGTTCAGAGTTCATATGTTCAGATTTATTTTGGGTTTTTTGTTTAATAAAAATCTGTTATAGCTGCAGGCCATTGGGCACACTTGGAGAAGTTGGTGTGCCACCCACTATTAGGATGCCTTGTGCTGGTGGAAAAAGATAAAATCTTTTGGCTCTCGGCCTATTTTTCTTAATGTATATTTGATATCACTGTTCATGAAAACTTTAGTCCTTCAGTATACTTGATAATGGCACCTTCTACTTGGCTCTGTTCTAAACTTAGTGGCTCTTTTTTCACCTGTCTACTCTGGTCTCCAGACGTAAGTTTCTTGAAGGAAAAGACCCTATTTTACATGGCTTGATAGTCTCAATTTTGGCCAAAATAAGGGACTTTGGGTTCTCATTAAGAGAAATGAGCATAGTTTACTGTGGCAGAGGGGTAGTAAAAAGAAATGTTTCCTTAAGGACTATACTGTCAGGAGAGTGTCCCTGTGATGTACAGTTATAAAATGTCAACTCTGGGGGGTTTGGTACAGCTGACAGTTGTTAGAGCACCTTGATTAATGAGTGCCATGTGAGAGCTGTTGTGTTTTCAATTGTAACATAAGCATCCTACAGAATTTTGAAACTGGCTTTGAAATTTCTCAATATTGCTCAAAACTTGGATATTTAACAGGGCTTCCGATACAAGATGAGGTCTGTGTATGCTCACTTCCCCATCAACGTCGTTATTCAGGAGAATGGGTCTCTTGTAGAAATCCGGAATTTCTTGGGTGAAAAATACATCCGCCGGGTTCGTATGAGGGCAGGTATGTGCATGTCTTTAAATAGGACTCGGAATTTCTCCTTAAGTCTTGAAGGTCTAGTGTTTTGGGTTAGCTATGGCTAGAACCATATTTATTGTCTCTTGGTTACATCCATAACTCTTGGTGCTAGATAAGGGTCAAGGGTTTATGTCTTTTTTTTTTTTTTTTTTTAAGGGTTTTTTGTCTTTCCTGAAGGGTTACGTACTGAATTATCTTACAGAGTATGGTATCTTTTTGGGAAAGAGGAGTGTTTGAACCTTGTACACACTAGGCAAGGGCTGTACTATTGAGTAAACCCCAGACCTGGATGTTTTTAAAAGATCTTTGCCAGGTGTGGTGGTGCACACCTGTAGTCTGAGCAGTCCCAGTACTCAGAAGGAGGATCCCCATGAGTTTACGTACCAAGACTCTGTCTCCAGAAAAAAAAGATATTTTTCACAGATAATTATGTTTGTGGGTTTCAGTGTGATGTTTTATATATGCATTTGTAGAATGATCAAATCAAGCTACTAATTAGTGTTCATCTCACATAACTAATGTTTTTGTGGTAAAAACATTAAAGTTCTTAGCACCCTGGAGGCTGAGGCAAGAGGGTTACAAGTTCAGGCATAGCCTGGGCAACTTAACAACACCCTCAAGTCCTGGGGATATAGCTCAGTACAGAGGCCCTGGGTTCAGTCCCCAGTACTGCAAAAAGAAGAAATTAAATCCGCCAAAAGCTTCTGAATAATGATTAAGAGCTTAGAATATTCTTAGGTCCAAAGTTTAACTCTTATTATTCTACTGGGACAAGTCTCTTCTCTAGCTTATTTTACTGGTCTGTAAAAGGGAATATATTCTGATGAGTGGAATTTGGAAAGTACTTTAGTGCTTGCATAATACATAGCAGACAGTGAAGCTTTAAAAAATGACATCAGCAACATTTGATGACAACCCCTAGGTTTAAAAAAAAAATAGCTTTTGAGTGGTACTAAATATGTACCATAAGAAGAGGACTTGATAGAACTAAATTATAGTCTCCACATAATTGCGTTGCTGAGTCTGTGACCACTCTGGGACTGATTCATTTCAGCCAGAACAGAAAATTTCTGGCCAGATAAGCCATGCCCTATATAGCCAAAATTTCAAGAGAAGGTTAGCTTATTGCATGGAATGAAATTACCACTGGAATTTAAGGAGTCTGTTTTAGATCTGATTTGACACTGTAAATACTCTTCTCTTTTTAGGTGTTGCTTGCTCAGTATCTCAAGCCCAGAAAGATGAACTAATCCTTGAAGGAAATGACATTGAGCTTGTTTCAAATTCAGGTTTGTATATTTACTGTGCCTCATTATACCTACAAAATTTTATCTAAATCTTTGATTAAATATTTGGTATTTGGTATTCATTTAATTTTATTTGGTTTTTTTTTTGTACCAGGGATCAAACTCAGGACCTTGCGCTTGCGAGGCAGGCATCAGAACCACTGAGCTAAATTCCCAGCCCTTTTTAGGCTGGATGTGGTGGTGCATGCCTATAATCCCAGTGCTCTGGGAGGCTGAGGCAGGCGAATGGCAATTTGGAGCCTATTCTGATCAATTTAGTGACTTAATGAGACTCTCAAAAAAAAGGACTGGGGGTGCAATGTGAAGGCTTTGGGTTCAGTCTTCTATTTTGGGGAAAGCTATCCCAGTGAGATTCTAAATACAGCATATAACAATACAGGCATGTGTCACTTAAGGATGGGGATATATTCTGAAAAATGTGTCTTCTAGGCAGTTTTGTTGGCTTGTGAATACACTGTATACCTAGGTGGTGCAGGTCAGTCACTCAACACCCCACCCCCCGCAATCAGGAGATAAGGTAGGCTTGATGTATAAGGTTGCTGCCAGCAAAATGGGCATATATTTAACTTATGAGTAGGAGTACACTAAAATAATGCTTAAATAGAATAGTATGATACTCAGTTACTTTTTCTCTTATGAAGCTGCTTTGATTCAGCAAGCAACCACAGTCAAAAACAAAGATATCAGAAAATTTTTGGATGGCATCTATGTTTCTGAAAAGGGAACAGTTCAGCAGCCTGATGAATAAGATCCAAGAGGTAGGTTTCTTAGTTTTATTACTGCTTTAGATGGGGCTTAAATTAAATTAGAATTGCGATGGCATAGAGAATTTCTTTCCGGAACACAGATTTTGCAGAGTAAGATAATTGACATTTTACTGTGAATCAGTAAGTTATAACCTTTATATTGAATTCTTTAGTTTGGAACTTTGCTGGGCAAGGGTACTAATGGGAATTTACAGACATTTGCATTTCTTTTTACAGTTATCCAGCTACACAAACAAGCTTGTGGATTGGAAGATAAATTTGTGATATTTTAATGATGGCAATAAAAGATCTCTATTGATTTGAGACTTGTTCTTAATCCTTTCCAACTGCTTGGCAAATAAACAGCTTGAAGAATGATCTCATGTGCTTTTTTTTTTTTTTATGGTACTGAGGATCGAACCTGGGACCTTGCAGTTGTAAGGCAGGCGGCGGAACCACTGAGTTAAATCCCCGGCCATATCTCATGTGCTTTTGTAAGGAAAGAACAAGTGTTTTCTAGCTTATCTTCATGGGAACAAGTGCCTTGATTGAGTCTGGATCTTGAAGGGATAGCAAGAATATTTCAGGCAAGAGGAAATATTGTACCAGTGACAGGTAACAGCTATGTGGCTATAGAACTCTGGGGAGATCTTGAAGGTGGAATCTGAGTATAAGGTGAGGCCAGGTGTGTCCTGATCACTTGTGAAAAAAGAGCGGAGAAGTGGAACAGTGTCACACCCTCAGTATGGGTTGGAAAATGCAGTTAACTTTATGGTAAATGGTTGTTGAGGTTCAAAATCTCTTGTTCTGCACCTCAGCCATTAACTTCCACATGCTTTAACCTGACATGGTGTTTGCCTTGTCTAGACTGTCCAGTATTACACATCCACCCCTTACATAAATTCCATCGGGAAAGACTGATGGGTACATTCATTACTTTATTCCGAGGTTAAGGAGGTAACAGTTGGAAACTGGATCTTCCATCTTGATTCAAGTGTACCACCTGGCTATATCAAAACTGATGGATTTGTTTTTGAGACAGGGTTGCTATGTAGTTCAGGCTGGCCTCAAACTCATGGCAATCCTGCTTCAGCCTCCCAAGTGCTGGGATTATAGGTGTGTACCACCATGCCCAACAAACAGGGTTTTTAAGAAATTTTGCTTTGAAATAAGAGGTGGGGTTTTGGTAGGCTTCAAAGATAGGTTCTGGGTAAAATGGGTAAGTTTTTTCCTTTGTAGTGCTGGGGAATGAACCTAGGGCCTAGCAAATGCTAGGCAAGCACTCTTAACACTGAGAACCTTGTATAGCTTTTAACTGGGTTGCCTTTGCTCTTCCATGCCTATCTTTTAGCCAGAATGCTCTTTTTCAAACAGATAATACCACTGTGCTCCTAATCCTACAACAGTTCTTAAAACTGCTTACTAGAGCTGAACTGACCTTTGTGTTCCTTGGGACCCAGCACAATGCCATAAGGCCTCTGAGCAGTCTTCCCTTTGGAAGGTTTTTTTTTTTTAAGGTACTGGGGATTGAACTCAGGTCCTTGCACTTGCACAGCAGGCGGCAAAACCACTGAGCTAAATCTCCAGCCCTGGAAGGTTTTTTGAACTGTGGCTGACTCCTTTTTTTTTTTTTTTTTTTTTTTGGCACTAGGGATTGAATTCAGGTCCTTGTGCTTGCCAGGGTAGGCGGCAGAACCACTGAGCTAAATCCCCAGCCTAGACTCACTCCTTTTTAAGAGTATAGTTAGGGCCTGGGATTCAGCTCAGTGGCACTGCACCTGCCTCACAAGCACAAGGTCCTGATTTCAATCCCTGGTATGGAAAATTCAGAAAAAAGATATTCCAGTAGATCCCGGAGATGGCGGGTTGGGATTTAGCTCAGTGGCACTGTGCTGCCTGGCAAGCACAAGGTCATGAGTTTGATTCCTGATACCAAAAAAGTATAGTTACTGAAAACTTGCTTGATCACCCTACTAAAAAGTGGCATTCACTCTCTTGTCCTTCCTTTTTTTTTTGTCCCTCCTGTCTTAATCTGTTGCACTTGTTTCTGTCCATAGCTTTTCCGTCCTGTCCTGTTCCTTCCCATCCATGTGTTCCTGTGTGTTGTGTCTCCTGCCCCTGCACCACCACACCTGGAAACTATGCATATAGCATTTAAAATGTTCATGGTTTCTCTTGTTGAGTCTCAGTGTATGCTGCTGGAATGTAACCACAAGGATTGATACTGCACTGAGACATTCCAGGTATCTAGGCATGGACTTCTGAACGCATGGCACTAAGATTGCCAGAGAGTCAGATGGGACTGGAGAGATGTTCTAGAGAGTGTTCAATTTCAAAATGATTGAAAAATTTACAGAGGGACATTTTGTAATAGGATGAGATGTTCGTATTGAGAAAGTATGAGCAGTGGTCTGCCGTGGAAGTTAAAGTTTCGCTGAGAATGGACTGGTATGTTGGGCATGAGCTGCACTGGTAACTTCTGGAAGCTGTCCTTAGTTAAGGAGTGGTTACTGTATAACTTGTTATTTTCTTGGTTTTTTTGGTACAGGGGATCGAACTCTGGTCCTTATTACACTTGCAAGGCAGGCGGTAGAATCACTGAGCTAAATCCCTGGCCCAGTTACCATATAACTCGGGTATTGTGGATCTAGTTCTTCCCAGGGAAGATCATGTGTACTGTGGAGAAGCACTTACATTATTTCCCCAACTGTAGCGTAAGTGTTGACATTTTGTGAATGAGAACATACCCAGAAGTTACTTGTCCACTGCATGGGAGTCAAAGGGGGAGATGCACCATAGGGCAGAACCCAGTACAAAGGCAGAACCCATACATGTTCTGAAGTCTTAATGTCAACCAGATTATTAGCTGAATATAAATAATCAGCAGAAACCAGTTTATTTGGAATAACATTAAAATTAAACATTTAGACAATATACTGGCCTCATTTTCTAGAGGCTGAACACCACAGTTTGTGACATTCACATATGTCAAAAGATTAGTGAGAGACCGGTGGTTGTACTGAAAATAAAAGGTAGCGCAAGTTAGGTTTCAAAGTGATTTTTTCTCCTGCAACCAGTGTCAGAAAAGCTAAGATTTTAGCTAGTATCTGTTTCTGCTAAGAGCTATCAATTTCCAGTTGGCCCTTAACAGTTTTACATTGAATTTTTATAAGCCTAACTACTTAAGTAATAATAAATCGTGGGCCAGATTAAATATCCTACCTAAGGATTTTCACATGAGGCCATGGTTTAGACACTACTAAGGAAGGGCCGGGGATTTAGCTCAGTGGTTCCAGTGCCTGCCTTTCAAGTGAAAAGTCCTGAGTTTGATACCCAGTACCAAAAAAAAACTAAGGAAATCCCCAAGTGGCAGCAAGGAAGGACATGGAGCTTTCGGCCAGGAGCTTTACAACTTTGGGTAGCAGATGGCAAGGCAACATGTTTGAAAAAGGGGAGCATGATTTAAACTTCTCTTTTTCCCCTAATTGGGTGCAGGACTCCAACATTTAGCTGCATCTCAAACCATTTTGTGTTTTTTTTGGTACTGGGGATCAAACTCAGGTCCTTGCGCTTGCACAGCAGGAAGTGAAACCACTGAGCTAAATCCCCAGCCCATCTCAGACCATTTTTGAGGTAGGGTCTGGCTAAGTTGCCTAGCTGACTTCAGACTTGATCCTACTTCAGCTGCTTGAGTAGCTGGGATTATAGGTCTTCTTATCTCTTAGATGGGCACATTAAGAAATCATGAAGGTGGGAACTGTGGTAGCGCACTAGCCAAGCATGCTCAAATCTTTTCAGTCTCCAGTGCAGCAAATTGAAAAATAGTAAAGGTTGGTGGACCCAGAAGCTGACCACAAGATGCTTTAGAGACAGGAAGCAAAACCTGAAAGGTTAATTCAAAGTTTCTAGCTGGGGCCAGGGATTTAGCTCAGTGGTTCCGGTGCCTGCCTCGCAAGTGCAAGGTCTCGAGTTCAATCCCTGGTACCAAAAAAAAAAAAGAGTGAGAAACGTGTACAAAGTTTCTGGCTGACATCACATTTTTTTCTCAAGACCATGCTATTAAAAGAGGTGATAAATTGGGGGCCGGGGATTTAGCTCAGCACCACTGTGGCTGCCTTGCAAGTGCAAAGTCCTGAGTTCAATCCCTGATACCAAAACAAAAACCTCAGAGTCTGGGGTTGATTACAAAAGAGGTGATAAATTGATAATGAGTTTAACTGACATTTCAATGGAGCTCTTGAGTCAGGGTCAGTCCATATGGCACAAAGGGAAAAGGAACAGCCAAATGATTCTTTTAAATGTGTGTCTTTTCTACACAGCGCAATAAAACTGGACCAGTTGTAATGCATAGCATTAGGAACTGAGTTCTCACAGAACCGTTTTTGGCAAAGCATACTTTAAAACTGCTAGGTCTTGGGGAGTGAGTGACTGTTAGGGCAAGAAGAGAGAGAAGCAAAATTTGCTGTTTGAATTTGGCCAAATGGCAGGTTTATTTTGTATCACTTTTCATTTGCTTGATCAATTATCTGAAACAAACTTGTTCATTATCAATTAGAATCCTAATGTACTAAATTAGACTTCTAATAATAGATCTGAATATAATTAAAACTAATTTTGGGATCGTTTCCTACTAAGGCTTTTTGAGAGGAACTATTTCCTTTGGGCTTTTTTTTTTGAGACAGGGTCTCACTATGTAGTTCAGCCTGGCCTTGAACTCACTGTAGCCCACGCTGTTCTAGAATTTGGCAGTGATCTGCCTGCCTCAGCCTCCTGAGTACTAGGATTTTAGGCATGTGCTACTACCAACCCTAGCTCCTTTGCAAGTAGTCTAAAATTCCTGGCATGGGTGGACAGTGATTAACTACTATGTATAATGTGTGGTTAAATGTTGACCAACCAGAAGAAAGAATAGATACAAATGGGTGTACATGCAAGTTTTTTGTGTCTCCAGTATTTAAAATTACCTTAAACTAGTCTTAAGCACACAGTTCATTTTGTTGTTTTTGCTTGTTTGTTGAGTCAGGATCTCACTATGTAGTTCTGGTTATCCTTGAATTCACTGTGTAGCCCAAGCTGGCCTTGAACTTACAGCAGTCCGCCTGCCTTAGCCTCCTGAGTACTGGGACTACAGGCATGCCACCATGCCTGGCTCATTTTAAAACATTAGAGTATTCAAATTCAGGTTTATGAATTCTAGTAGAAAGGTGTCCTATAAAACAGTTTGTTGTGGTTTTTTTTGGTACCGGGGATCGAACTCGGGTCGAGGCAGGCAGTGGAACCACTGAGCTAAATCCCCAGCCCACTCTATAAAACAGTTTTAACTCACTTAGACCAACACTGTATTTCTCCAGAAATACACCCCAAGAGCTACCTGTATT